GCACCAGTGCCATCACAATGAATAGTTGCATTATCTCTTAAACTTCCAGCCCATGGTTGATGATAAGTTAATACTTTTGAAAATGAAGTTTCTAGAAGTTTAGAGAGTTGTTTTGGGCCTTGTTCTAGTTGATGTTTTGGGTAAAATAATACAAGGGGCATATAAAAGTTACCCATACATTGATCAAGAAGTGAAAGTTTGTGAATTTTTTGAGTTGATGGAGTGGGAGAAAAAGGTTTCACAACTTTCTTGGAGATTGTTGATAGCAATCTTGAAAAACTAGACATTTTTTTTTTAAATTTTTTTAAAATGCAAAATTAAAATGTTAAACACTAATGATTTGTTCTTTCTTAGTATTTTGTTACTATATATAGATAACATTAGGAAAACAGTATTTAAATTAAACAATTTTTTTTCTCACTTTGGAATGATTGGTCAAATATGGATTGCCATATACTATATAATATAATTCTTATTTTATTTATTTAGTCAAAGAGCACCATTTGGAACTGTTCTAGCAATGTCAAAGATCTCAATCTTTATCAAGATATAATATCGCCGCAATGTGATCGAGCTAAATTTATGGGAATCAAAATAAATATTGTCAAACTTCATTGAACATGTTTAAAAATAGGAAAAATTATGTATAGTGACAAATTATAAATCAAATTTAATGTTATTGATTTAATTGTGTTATGTAGCAAATTATTTGTCGGTCACACCTCTCTCTCTTAAACTCTCTCTTACCACTCTCTCTCTCGCTCGCTTTCTCTTACTTCTATACAAACACAAGTGTATAAATGTGTTTCTGTTTGTGTAAAGCGAGAAAAAATATATATATATATTCGTTTCCCTCTCTCCTCTCTCCCAGATCTATCTCGCCACTCTCTCAGATTTCGTTCGCCACCCTCGCCTCAATCACTTATACAAATAGAAACGAAATGTATAAATTGTGAATCTGTTTGTATAAAGCGAGACAAAATTTGTATATACACTTGCAAATACATATATCTTCGTCCTATATACGTATAATTATACAATACAAATATTTCCTGCCCAATTTTCTTTTGTCTTTCTCTCTTTCTCGTTATATACATACACAAATTATACAATTGATTTGTATACACCTATTTTCTTTTGTATATGTATAGCGAATTATACAATTAGTTTCTTTGTATATGTATAACGAATTATATATATTTATGTTTATTATGGAGACCAATAATGTAAATTTTGTTATAGCATACAAATATAAATTTTGTATTCGCTATATGTAAAAATTGCTCTTAAAAATATGAATCATATCCCAGCTCGTTCAACTCTTTATAACTTTTTATTTTTTAAAATTTTATTGTATACTTAGACAAAATCTAAGTAAATTGTTCTTTATTATAGCTTTACATGATATATTATTTTTTTTAAATTTTTTTTATATTTTCATATATTATTCTGTTTGAACGAGTAATACTTTCATAAATTAATTTTATCATCAAGACATCGATTATTAATTATTTTTAAAAGAATAGAATAAATAAATGAGCAGGGCACACATTACATTGCAAACTCCTAAAACAATATCTTTTTTTTTTGCCCATATTTCTTTTCTCAATTTTGCACTGTGATAATATTTTTTTTTTAAAAAAAAAACCAAGAAAGTCAAACTTCTTTAATATGATGAAAATAAAATATTGAATAACTGATATCTAGTCTTAGTACATAATTACGTATCATGATTCATGCTATCTTTATGGTGTAACTTATTTTTTAAAATTATTTTTTCATATTAAATTGTATACAATTTGAACTGATCATTCGAAAAATAATTTCCTTTTAGTATTTAAAGAAACTTATATCATTGTGTTAATTTAATCGGTGCCAATATGTTATTCTTTTAGTTTCTAAATTATAATATTGAATTTAATTATTATTAAACTTTATATTTTATTAAAAATAAAATCCATATAATATTATAAAGAAATTATATATATACAATGTATCAAACTTACTATTATAATGGTGTCTCAATTATAGAGAACATATATAATGGGATAATAAATGAATAACTTTCTTTATATGATTTTTCATTATTATTTTACACTATTTTTTTAAAAAAATAATTTTTATTAATAAAAACAAATAAATGGTCAACTTTGGATTGCTATACTAGCTCTTGAAATTTCAAGGTGACCCTATTTCGGCAATCTCAAAAGTATTTATTTAGTTTGAATTTTATATATTTAATATTTATTATTTATTTGAAATTTAATTAATTTAAACGTTATCAAAACATTTCCTTCAAAATATATATATTATTCTTATAGCGATTTCACTTTCAAAAATAATATTTAACTTTTATTTAGAAAAAACGGCCGTCAAACTTTATTATTTCAAACCTTTACACTAAAGTAATTATTTTCTGCATGGCAATTTGGATTTTGACATGTAATAAATAATTATAATTATAATAAAGTGTTGAATACATATTTGATTATTCGAATAAATAGCTGACAATTTCTTGAAGTAAATGAAAACAACTACTACTATAATATATTTTTGTAAATACATCTTGTGATTTTGTGTCACTAGAGAAGTCCTAACTTAAGTCGAGAATTTATTTGAGTTATAAAAAGATAAAATGGATATAAATAAATTATATTTTTAGGATATAATTAAAATAGATTTAGTGTAATTTTTTTAACGACATACGATAATATGTTAACGTTTAAACTTGAACATAATATAAAAGTTTTTTTACATTTTATAAAATAAAAGTTTTTCTTCATAAAAAAAACTAAATAACTCATCATTCTTGTTTGCAAATTACACTTAAAAAGAGTCATTTAATAGTCGATTAAAATTATATAAGTATTGGTAATATTAGAATTTGTCATAATGAAATTTATGTATTATTTTATGCAAAATTTACTTATTATTTTCACACTTTATACCAAAGAATGTTAAATCCTATCCTTCCCAACCACCCCTATCTCGCCCCCCACTTCCACCCCCCGTTTCTCATTAGGGATGGCAAACGATGTGATTGTAGTGGCAGGGAAAGTTCATGTAAACTCGTAAGAATTTTAATCCGTCTCACTTCACATAACACAATTTGTTATTTTCACACCTTGCGTGAACCTGCCCTGTATTATTATTATTTGTCATATTTTTCAGTCTCTATTTTTTTTTCCTCAGAGTCTTTCAAGTTGAATTAAGAAAATGAAAAGACACGTGATTTTAGATTTTTTTTTAGTTAATCTAAATGATTTTCTTTTAAAAGAAAAAAAGACATGCTATCGAGTACAAAGAGAGGAGAAAAAAAATATTTTTTATTTATATAATAAGATAATTTAATTTAAACTTAGCGATTCTATAATCATTAACTGATTTCCATAAATTTTCCAATAAAGTTATTCAAACTCACACCGCTCCGTTGTCATTCCTATCTTCCATTGATTTTTATTAGATTTGGTTGTATAATTAAGAGGAGCAAGTTTGTCATGAGGTAGGTTGGATTGATAACAATTGAACTTAATCAATTTCTTTTGGCACAAACTTGTTATGTCTTGGTCCCATGCTTTAGTCCTTTTCCATTACATTAATAACCCAACAACAAATATAGAATAGAGCACATGGTTGCAAAACTTATATACTAACTCTGTTCAATTTAAGTTATCGGTTTATTTGAGCACAAAGTTTAAAAAAAAAGAAGAGATTTATGAAATTTATGATTAATTTAAAATTGCGTGGTTTTTCAAATTTTGTAGTGACTCACGAGGTAGAATATAGGAATTGAAAAACTTACAATGAAAAGTAAGTTTTAAGTGTCTTACTTAATAATATTCTAGTGAGTTAAAATATTAAACGTTTGTAGCTTTTGCTAACACATTATTACTATAGCAATTATATGCACCTATTATTATCTCCCAAAACAAGATCTGCCACTAAACATTGAGCTTCGTTACACGATAAAGACATCTTAGTACACAAAATATTCCACGTTAGTATGGTTTGAGAAAAGGTGCACCTCAAGTACTTAATAAAAATATTAGTATATGCTTTTTCACGACTCGAATATATTACCTATAAGTCACATGCCAACATATTCATGATATGATAGTCCCTTTTAAAAATAAAATGAGTTAGCGTAGAAATTTAGTAAGTAGAAAATGTAAGGAAAAAAGTGCGATTATTAGAATGTAAATTATCATTTAAACAAGTGATCCAATTATATTAAATTCAAAATTCCTCAGTAATAATATTTTCAAGAATGATAATTTTTTTTCTTTTTTTTTTAAAAAAGAAAAGAACTTTTCAAAAATATTAATCAAACATATTTACGATGATACGTCCTCCTTAATATTTTAATAAGTCGCGTAGAAATCTATCATTTTAAGCTCTTTTATTTTTGAGTTTCCCATCTAGAACCTCCCCACACCCCACCCCACCCCACACCCTTCCTCTCTTGCTTCAATTATTGCATTGAGAAAGTAATAAGTTTGCTTCAATTTATCATCTCCCCCCTCACCCTATGAATGCCAGTTGTAGATTGTACCATACATATTGATTGTGTAGTTAAGAGGGTAGGCTTCTTGGTCCAAAAAAAAAGAAGGTAGCTTTCTGTGACAACTTGTATTGTCTTGGTTCTATGCTTTAGTCATTTTCCACTACATTACAATAACCTAACTATCAATATATTTCCTCCGTTTTAAAAAAACGATCTTATTTTTTTTTAGTCTGTTTCAAAAAGAACGATACCTTTCTTTTTTTGGCAACATTTTAACTTAAACTTTCCACGTGGCATGTTTAAGACCACAAAATTAAAAGACATCTTGATACATTTGATATAACTTTAATTTACAACCACAAGATTAAAAAGTATTTCTTCTTTTCTTAAACTTTGTTTTAAGTTAAACTAGGTCATCTTTTTTAAAACGTAGGAAATATAGAATAGAGCATATGCATGCAGACTAGATGTACTAACTTTGCTCAATTTAGGTATTATAGTTTCTTTGAGCACAAAGTTTAAAAAATGAAAACATACTTTTGAAATTTATGATTAAATTAAAAATGTGTGTAATTTTTCAAATTTTATAGTCTTAAACTTACAAGTAGAATATAGGAATTGAAAAAATTATTTAATAAAAAAGAAATATCTTATTAAGACATAAAAAAATAAATAATAAGACACTTAAATCGAGAGTAAGTATTATATATAAGTTCTAACATAAATGTTGTTGAATTTTTATTTAATAATCCTACTGAGACATATCAGTGATCATTCTTGTTTAAAAATTACTATTTGCATTCAACAGGTGAAGAAATGTTGTTAGTAATTGAAGATTGCAAAATTTTTCTTGTCAAAAAAAATCATTTTGTGTTCATTCTTGTTTTTCTTTTCAGATTTGAGAAATGGAGGTTGGCTTAGCAGTTGGTGTGCATTTATCTCTTCAGCTCTGAATGTTCTCTTTGATAGGCTTGCTCCTGAGGGTGATCTTATCAAAATGTTTCGGACGCGTAAGAATGGTGTTGAGCTCTTAGAGAAGCTGAAATCGACTTTGCTTGGACTTCAAGCTGTGCTAAGTGATGCAGAGAATAAGCAGGCATCAAATCAATTTGTGAGAGAATGGCTTAATGGGCTTCGAGTCGCTGTGGACTCTGCTGAAAACATGATTG